TCAATTAAATAGAAATGTAGTACAAACAACTATAGCATTTATGATATTTGAATCCATTATGTGAAAAACTAAATTATTTAAGGTGTTTTTATATACAATGATAATTACAGATTTATCTGCCATGAGCAAGTAAATACAAATTTCCATTGTTTCCATTAAAGTGTAAATATTTAATCAGTTCCGCAGATAGCAATTTGCCGTTGAAGATATTCCCAATTATTTACAGTTCAGACCATTTTCCGATGTCGTCGCCACTCTATGTATTTAAAGTGACGTTCACTTCCATTAACGAAAGAGCGCAATATTAATTTGTAATGTTAGGAGTGAGTTAACTCGTTCAACACTATTGATTCCTTTTAGTGGTTATTTTATTAGCACTTTTCTGTCAAAAATACTAGAGAAATATTCGATACTATGTTTCAAAATGCCTCTTTGAATCAGCAATTATATCACTTCTCTTGCAAGACGTCAAAGAAATTTGCATTGGCGATTATATTTTTTTTATTAATTGTACGATATAATCACTGCAGCATTAACTGCTCATTAAGTGTTCAACAAGCCCTGAAATACCCTCTTCATATCTCTCAAGTGTTTATCTTAAGTTTCCAACACATTAAGGATATCATTATATAAAATTCAATTCTCATATCACCATTGTTTAATTGAATTTCATCTAAATATGGTACTATTCAAGTCTTTGAAACAAATCCCAATTTGAAGTAATTGTGATTTATTTATATCAAAGGCGTTATCATTTTTATTATTTTACGGTTTACAGATTTATAAATTGAGGCTACGGAACACTGTTGATAACAATGAAGGATACTATTATCAAAATTACAAAATTGGGAACATCAATCACGTTGGGAGTAGAGTTAATTGTCACAACTTCCGTAAAACTTTTGAATTCATTGCCTTAAATTGATGGAATAACAGTAAATATTGACAGTGTGTGTATCTGAATCAAATTAATTAGATTTAATTATCTTCAAGATTGCTCTGTTTATGGTAAACATTTAATATTAATTAACTTTAGTGCGTCTTTGTATCGTTTAGTGAAAGTACTCAAGTAATTGGAGAATTTAGATTAAATATGATATGTTGTCCATCACGGGCATATATATGATTTAAGAGCTGGTGACCGGTTCTTGTATGTGAGTGGAGGTGGTGGGAATTGAAGATGGACTAGGTCGGGTCTTGGAGTGCCTATTCTATGTACGTTTTGTAAATCATTGAAGATTACTTATTGCTATGTTGAAGAAAGATCAGGAGACAAAGTCCGCTCTCTCTACAACACTCAATTGTAAAACCCACCATTTTCTTCGGGAAATGCCTGTACCAAATCAGCTTGAATAGGACAGTTGTTTTCCAGTCGTTCCGTTGGTTGATATAATCGAGTGTTTGGTTTTGTCTGGTTTTATGGACTTCCCCCTTTTTAAATTTACCTTAGAGTTCGGTATTTTGTTAGACATTTTGATCACACAATATTGCATACAAAATAATAAAATACTGTAAACCAACTTATTTTCGCGGATACTTTATTTCGCGTTTAGCCCTTTCTAGCCCACTTCGCGGCGATTTAATTTCGCGATTTTCAAATTTATTTGATGCAGTTAAATAAGGAGATCCAAGTTTTACTAAATCTCGACGATTTATATTCGCGTTATTTTTCCACTCGCGAAATTCGCAAAAATAAATCGCTCGCAAAAATTAGTTGGTTTACATTATTAAAAAAAAAATCTGATCAGATAGTTATTTTAATCATAAACACACCATACAATATCTAAGAAATTCATTCATGTTTCTATTGCACTAGAAAGCTTTTTTTTTTAATTCATTCCTGAATGAAATGATCTCTCTGATACACTTTAAGAGAAGCTTCAAGTATAGAAGTAAATACCGTATTGAACGTTAAACGAGAGAGAGAGAGAGAGAGAGAGAGAGAGAGAGAGAGAGAGAGAGAGAATTGTTGCAATTTTGTACGTCAAACGCGCGTTTCGTCTACATTATACATGGTTGTAAACAAATTAAAACAAAAATATTTTTCACAAAAGAACTATTGGGGTCCTTTTATAGCTGACTATGCGGTATGGGCAAATACCAAAGTTTTTTCTACCCCCTCCCTCAGGCATAGATTTTCTTGTTTTTCTTTGGCAGAACTTTTCTGAATTTTCGGTTTTTATTACCATTTAATGCTCTACAACTTCGTATTTTGTTTGGCCTTCAAACTGTTTTATTTCAATCGCTACTGACGAGCCATATGTAAACGAAACATGCGTCTGGCGTTTCAAATTATAAGTCTGGTATCTCTGCAGACGTTGTACAATCACTAGGCCCATGTCACTGCTAGTGGAAGTCTCTTCCGTGGGTATCACCAGCACAGTACCAAATGGAGGCAATGCGGGACCTTTTTGTGTCCAGCTTTTTTTCCACAATGTTATTCGGGGGATGACTATCATTAACATTTAGATAGCGTTTAATTTTAACATCTTTCAAATTAAATATTTATCAAAATAATCTTGTTTGAAAATAGATGAATGTTTAAATGTTAAGATACATTTGTACTTACTATTAGTTGTTTTTTATGGACCTGCGTATTTTTTTTTTTAAGTTTTCTGTAACACTATATCTATAACATAATCAGCATATTATCTATGATGGCAGAAACCTTGTCGCACATACATTATGCCAAAATAAAAGTATTTCTTATAATTTCCTGCAGACTGGGCTTACAAACTGTCGTAATTCAAATGCTTAAATGTATATTAAAGTGATATAAATGTTGCAATAAACTATGTTTCTTATTCTTTTCCGACGCATCCTTAATATTGAAGCTTGCTATTCGGTGGCACGCTTCTTATGTATTGCTTGTGCTTTTGAAAATCTATAAATTGTCTGGACGGATATTAGGGAAGTGCGAACATATATTTTATTTACCATGAACATGATTGTGAATAAGATGCTTTTGAATGCACGTAGACCAAGTTTTATAACTTCAGACATTCAGCTGATCTGTTTATACATGTATATAACTTAAATTGGTCTGAAATATTTTGAAATATCTGGTTTTAAAGTAGATGAAGGCATTAAGCATGATCTTGTGTCGTATCGTTCTAACACTAAATGCCGAGATAAAGGTTAAATAAGGTTAATGCCTGCATTTCGTGATAAGTTGGATATAAAATTATTAAAATGAGCGAAGCCCCACAAAAACTATAAACAAGGGAATTAATGACAAATTATTTTCGCCTATTTCTTGATGTGAACCATCAAATCGAAAGAGTCATGGTCACATTAATAACAACCTGTTTCCTCACGCAAACTTTGTATCTTTCCATCGTAAACATGAAAATGTACTACCATTTCAGTCTTAGTGAACTCGTTTATCAACCTATCAAGCAGAGACAATATTTGTCATTTATCAGTGTTAGATGCTATCTCATATCTCCAACTTTGAACACTAAGAAAATGAAATATTTTCGTAAAAAATCATTATTCTAGATTTTTTTCAAATTACATCATTAAATTCGAATGCAAAATATTATGCTCCGTCTTTTATACAAATTTTGTTGACATAATTTTGAACAATTATTTTGCAAATGAATACATGATGCAGTTTTGTGTATTACACTTAAAGCCCGACTGGCCAAGGCCAGTGTAAGTTAATCTGATCACTTGGTGTTTGTCGCCTGCTTGTCGTCCCTCTGTAAACAAAAATTAAACAACACTTCATTTTTATTAGCCCGAAGTGCTTTTCTGCATTTCCTTCGTCAGGAACACTCAAACCCGAATATTTGAAAGCCATGGATTATAAGAACCGAAACTGTTGACGAGCTATATTACCTAAAGGACCTAATAATGATAGCCAAATGATTAATCTATCTTAGGTCAACTTTGCCTGAGGGAGTTGAAACCTTAGTTTCTTAATAGTTTATAAGTTTATAAACGGATAATTTAAGAAAGGTTTGTTTTAAATCATGTCAGTACCGAAGTACTGACTGTTGAGATGATGATACCCTCGGGGACGACTGATAGTTCACCAGCAGCGGTATCGACCCAGTGCTGTAAAATTTCAAAACTCATTTCCGAAATCAACATACCATTGAAACTTAACTTCGCCTCAATCATATGTTGGGTGTGTAGTTTCATATTTGTTCCTACGTTCACATGTCTACTAAAAATATAACAGATGGTTAAAATGCAAGTAATTTTCTAATTTTTGAAAATCATATTAGATAGCGAAATTCTGACAGGGATAAACTATCTACTTGCTATCAATTTACTTCAAATTCTTACCTTTTTTACCGATTCTAACGTTTCTTATTACCATCTCGAAGATTGTAATAAATAGATATAAACTATAAATAACAAAAATGACATGCAATGACAGATCTATTTATAAAAATACTAATAACTGAAACAATCAATTGACCCCTTGTACAAGTAACTGTTATTTATTTTCAAAGACCATTTTGACCATTAATCGTTTTTGTCATTAATTTATAAAGAATATGTAGATTGCAAAAAGGATCAACAATGCAAGCGCTACAAAGATTGCAATATGACTCCATATAGTATATTGGTCTTAAGCCAATGTTAGCATTTTCCCCCATTGTCTTGAAAACTAGGAAAGATAGACAGAAGCTGAATCAGTAGAACTGATTAGGAAAAAAGGATCCACAAAAATACCATATTGGTTGAAACCATCAATTATGTTTGTTATTTATTGTCCTCTCTCTGTCTATTTTTAAGACAATTAGATATACAGAAAATGAAAAGAGACTGTAGGCCTTTTTGCGTTGGATTACGGTGGCTTGTTAAGTCTCGGAATGATACGAGTTCGATACATACGGGTCGTCTACGTAAGTTCCATAAGACTTAAAACAGAGAAAATCGATGTTGATAGTATTACACCACGTCTTTGCAGTACTACAATCAAAGAGCAAGTCAGGACATCAAGAATATTTTGATACACAATTTAAAATTCTCTTTTCTTTTAGAAGTGGCTGAATTGTCTAAAGAGAAAACGCTGATAAAAAAGCTCCTTAACAACTACCAGGAAATAGGAGTTATGGGTCGACCTGTTGTTTCTCAGAACGATGTACTAAATGTACAGTATGGATTGAGTTTAATACAAATACTTGATTTAGATGAGAGGAATCAAGTTCTTAAAACAAATGTATGGGCAACATATGTAAGTATACACTGTACATTTCAATTGGTATGTGTTCAATCATTGTTCCTTTCATAGGTGTCTGTATTCCTTTTAATATGTAGGTGAAGAACCTAATAAAGGCAACAGTAGTATACCGGTATTCAAAAGTCATAAATCGATTGAGAGAAAACAAATCCGGGTTACAAACTAAAACCGAGGGAAGCACATAGACTATAAGAGGAAAACAAAGGAACAATACGAACACTGAAGTGCAACAAAAAACAAACGCCAACATACATAGAAACGAAATATTTGATAACAACTGCCATATTCCGAAGTCTTATTATACTTTGATCATATAAACACAACGAAAACATCTAGCAACACGACGGGTGCCACATGTGGAGCAAGATCTGCTTACTTTCCTGGAGCACCTGAGATCAGCCCCAGTTTTTGGTGGAGTTCGTGTTGTTTAGTCTTTGGTTTTCTATGTTGTGTTTTGTGTACTGCTGTTTGTCTGTTTGTCTTTTTCTTTTTTGGTCATGGCGTTGTCAGTTTATTTTCGACTTGTGAGTTTGGATGTCCCTTTGGTATCCTTCGCCTCTCTTTCTCTAGTATTGATAAATGCTTCTGAATAGAACACATACTGGTTGTTTTTTTAAGTTTTTTTTAGAAGTCATTCTAAAATGTTATTCAATATTTCAAGTCTATCTGATTTTCGTCTATTTGTGGTTTTGATGGGTGGAAACCTTCATCCATATTTAAAAGAAAAGATCCGACAAGAATGAAAATGCTATCCTGGCGACAATAAAGTGGAAATATGCAATGAAAGAAATTGACTACATCCATGATCATATTTTAACTTATATTAAACCTGAAATGAAGTATAATAAAGTTGTCAATTATCCTTAAAAATTATTTCATAAATCGGAAACATTATACATGTATTTCTATACATAAATAGAATCGTTTAAAACTATATCTCTGTATGGTTTTTAAAATCTTTAATACATTTTTATTAAGAAATAAAAATTCATCAATTTAGATGAAAAACTTACCGAGTATCTTTCAGCTATTCATTTAAACAGAGAATTGGATAATCAACAATCATCAAACAACAAAAAGATTCAAAATATAAAATACAAAGGAAAACCATATTGGCTTCAATGATGACCTGGTACGCACCATCCTTTGTAGTTAGCTTTAAATATTCTTACTCTCGTCCTGTTTAGAAAGCAACATACTAGCAAACAAACACAAATCATCAAACAAAATCTGACAGAACAAAAGTCAATAGGAGTGCAACCAACCAAGTTGGCTTCTTACAAATAAATACCCTTAAGTATTCATCAAATCACACCAGATGAATAAAACATTGAAAAACCTTTATTGGAATCTGGAAAAAAAAACAATGAACAACAAAACCATGTTTATTCGAGGCCCTTTATTGTGTTAGGTTGCAGAAAGTGTGTTAGAATTTGACAACATTCCAATAACGCAATAAAACAGGTTAAATGTGTGACCGTATAAAAACAATGATATGTATTATATACATACATTAACAACAATTCACGATGTAGTCTATGGAGAATTCTAACATAGTTAGCAGATTTTAGTGATAATAATCGCAAAGATTATTATGTGATGGACCTGGAACTAATGTAACACGTTTCTCGTCCCAAGACCTTGCTTTTACTGCTTTGATAAATGTATATCTGTCAGTAAACAGAAGAGACATCACTTGTACTTATAGAGCCTCTTTAGAAAGTACTACCATGGGATTTATATATCACAAAATACTTCTTTTTCTTCCAATTACTTTTATTTTCCTCAAACTGGGAAGTCATGTCAAATTGATGTTGCTGAAAATTGTTAAACAATTCAATAGAACTATAAAAGGAATAAAAGTTAATGGTAAACTTCAGAACTACTCTATGCTTTTCCTGGATCTGTCTTTAAGTGGTGCTGTCTCATTGACATATACCCCACATACCTTTTTTATTCTCATCTTATAGCTAGATCTTTGATGATGTTTTCCCTGTTCAGAATAAATTCAATAAGCTGTTCCTTCACATCATTTATTCAGTAATATATAAACGTAACACGCGAGAGTGTAATATCCGCTGCAAGTTAGAGTGGTGTGTCCAAACATTTTTTGTCGGGGACAGTTTTTCCCATTTACAGAATTTAGCTTCCATATCAGATCTATTATAAAGGTAGTGTTGTGCATATAGGATATACATCTCCCAACTCATTCGGTATCCAAGAGCTTGCAGATTCTACTTAGACTTTATTAAACGTCACCAGTGTCTGAGCAGAAAGTTGATCAACCAGGGTTATGTCAAAGAACGTCTCGTACTTTTTATAAAAAAAGTTCATCGGAAGATACCAAGACCTTGTTGATAAATATTCCTTATCAACTTCACAAATAATACATGATGGTCTTGAAGTATATATTATAGGTACTGACGTTGTTTATCGCCTCAATTACGTATTATTGGTTTTTTTTATTTGTCTTTGTATATTTATAACCTTTACTGTTTGTCCATTTTTTTTTTTTTTTTTGGTAATATACTTTTGGCGTGGCTCGGTATTTATACATCCCGCCATTGTGTTAATGTCCCGCCATTGTGTTAATGTGCTGTGGTTATTTTTTGTTTTCTTGTCTTTCCTTTTTATTTATGTGTTTTGTCTGTAGAGTGTCTATATGCCGTTTTGTTTTTCTTTGTCGGCATAGTTGTTTGTTTTTATAGTGGTTAAGATTATAACACAATGTTGACTGCTGTACCTCAATTTTTGACATTTTTACCTATTTTGTCTGTTTGTTTTGCTCACACTGTTGTCAATATAATGGAATTATATGCGACTGTCATACAAGTGAGAGGTTAAGCTAGCTATAAAACCCGGTTTAACCCACCATTTTCTACATAAGGAAATGCCTATACCAAGTTAATAATATGACAGTTGTTTTCCATCCGTTTGATGTGTTTGACCTTCTGATTTTGCCATTTAATCAGGGACCTTCCGTTTTTTGTATTTTGATATTTTACTTTTTGAATTCATTGACCGATTGTTTAGACTGAGATGATTTAGAGCTTCAAATATGGTTTGGGACCTTGCAACATCATGGTGACCTCTGGTAAACTTGTGCTGTGCGGTTCCTGTTCTATTGAAGTAAACTGTAACGCAGTCACCCTTTTATTCATTTAAATGATATAAATGAATATTTCATATTTGACTGCATATAGACATTTTCATACTGTAAATTATACATGATAACTATATACCACATCTACTTGGTGGGATAGTTGTCTCATTGGTAACATCTTCTTATAAAACAAAGGAAACGGAAGAATGCAAATGACTTACACAATACGAACTTCAGAAAAGTTATGAAGACATTCACGCTGGAGACAGTTTTACAGAAATCTATAGTCAAAGTACGGATATATTTGCAATTAAAATAAAGTAATCATAAATTTGAAATATGCGTTCAAAGCGTTTAGGAAAAGTTATATATCTGTATATTGTTTTTAATATAATCATAATGATCTTCTATTTTAGCATTGGAAAGATATTTATATGTCATGGGATCCACTAGAATATGACAACATCACTAAAGTGAGGGTTCCCATGGGGAGTATCTGGCAACCAGATATCAAACTTTATAACTAGTAAGTTTTTTTATGTTTGGAATATAACAGGTAAAGCTTTTGATAAAGCACTACATAAAGTAGAATCATTAACAAACATGGTCGTGTTTTGTATGTGTCAAATTGGTTTCAAATAATGTTAGATTAATAGATAATGCTTTATGAACGTTTATACAAAGGAAATTTCATTAATTATTCTGTTAGTAAGTAGATACTTATTTAAAGTTAAATTGCTGCAGAAAGGATGCTATATATAGATAAAGTAATTGTCTTCGTAGGGAAAAAATAATTTTGAAAATTTCAGAAATAAAATTCTCAATATATAGTCACATGAAGCTTATATTTTGAGTGTTGTTGTTTGTATGAAAGTCTACGAGTTAACGGGTGTTTCGATATTTGCACGATTTAAATGATATAAAGTAATGATAAATTTAACTGTATGTTAAATGTACTATAAGAACCAAGGTTGCACCTCCGGCAAACACAATTAACCATAAAAAGTTTATGCATTTTTGTATTGCGTTTCTTTTGTTTTTGATACTCCCATAAATTAAAATTGTCAAATGTTAAATCTCAATGGTACCTGTAGAAGGTCATTCCAGAAACATGGAAATCTTGTTATTCAGAAAATTTCTTCAATTAACTAAAAATATGGCTATTTTTTTTTCTTAATCTTATCATAATACATTGAATACCTTACCATTAAATATAATGTATTCTAAGTACTAAGCAAATTCAGGATCCTCGTTAAAGGTCGTTTACCATCCCGTTGTCGAACTCAAGTAAGAATATGGCGAATCTTGATGGTTTGAGTGATACTGTATTTCTTGATCTATTAAAAAATTGCCAGCATTTCTTTAAATCTATATTACATGTTATATACTTACAGTGCAGACGAAAGGAGAGAGGAAAAGAGAGAAGCCTTGTTAGTAGTGTCGTATGATGGTGGCATTCAGTGGATACCCCAAGCTATATTTAGAAGTTCATGTGCCATAGATATAATGTACTTTCCGTTTGATGTCCAAACGTGCAAAATGAAATTTGGTTCATGGACATACGATGGATATAAAATTGACCTTGATCTTGTTTATAACGTTAGCACTGGATTTGAAATGACAGATTATATTAAAAGTAACGAATGGGAAATAATTTCCTCCCGAGCTAAGAAGACTGTCTTCCGATATGCATGTTGTGATGAGCCTTTTGTGGACCTCACCTTTCACTTAAAGATAAAACGTCAGCCAGCCTTTTATAACTATATTTTAATTTTACCATGCATTCTTCTGTCATCTTTAACATTAGTGTTGTTCTGGCTTCCACCAGAGTCTCCTGCCAAGATGCAGCTCGGTAAGTACACATTAACAACAATATATATGCATTAATCAAATTGATGCAATTCATATTACATTATATACGAATAAAAAGAATATTTTTACAATTCAAAAATTCAATTAACTAAATAAACGAAATTGAAATTTTCCATCACATTTCTCAAATTAGATTAAACTGAAAATCTACAAGTTTTTAAACATTATCAAATTACTCGCATCATGGAATTCTGTTAACATATAAATGACATGAACATCTATCAAACTGCATTAGGAAATTATTTAAAATTCGATGATTATTGACTGGTCATATAGTCAGTATGATATCATTAGTTAAAAAGCTAAAAGTTAGTTTAACAAAATTTTTTGTTGGTGCCGACCGATAAAGTAGCCTACAATGTTGTGATGATATGACGTTAATACCACACGGAAGCTCTTAAGAATAGAATTATAAATTCTTCTACATTAAAGGCCCAATTTAATCAAAATAAAGATCTCTGATTCGTTATGCTCATATGCTTCGAAGAGGACGCGAGTTCCGATAGATCTGAATTTTAATCAGAATGTTTAAGTCGTGCGCTCTAGAGGGAGTCAGATAGTGAACAATCGTGTCAATGCTATATCTCAACGTAAGGCCTCCTCTAAATATTTGATGGTACCTTCTATGTATTGGCTACCTAAACTACACTTTAATCTCGTCAAAAGCCGTTTCATTTCTATTAAGTGTTCTACTTCTATTCTGTGTGTGCTATTTCAAGTTCCCTTACTAAAATTAAAGAACTTGTTAGTAATTTTTGTAATAAAGCATATGAAAATAATGAAAATAATTATTTTTGGAGGGTAAAAAATCTTTGGATGTTTAAGATAAATTACGTGTTTTGATCGTCTTTCAATTCTGATGACAGACACGACTTTTTCACACTCTACATTACACTTCAACACAATCTTATCATACAGAAGTTCTCTTATTTAAAATCTTTTTGCAAATTTATTTGCTGCAATTCATAGATATACCTACTGGAACTGCGATATAATTATTTAAACTGTAGTGTTTCCTCTTGACAACATTCATGTAAGTTTCGGCAATAAAGTTTATCGACATTTTCTAGGAATTCATATGGGCTCAAATTGCACCCTTTTTAGATAGCAGACTTATTCATGCATTGTTTTGAATCACAGTTTTTTTTTGGCTAAACTCCATTAAATTAATAAAATTAACACTTATCGTTATCTTTAAGATATTTTTGCATTAGATAATCAAGAATTTTTCATCATACTTTGGAAATTTACCCAAGAAAACTGACTTTAAATAAATCTAATATCAGCATTAATAACTGTTCTTTTCTAGATTTAGATATTTCAGTTTCACACGGGAAAATTAAAACAAATATTTACGACAAAAGAGACTTTTTTTCTTTCCCTATTGTTAACTTTGGACGATCATGTGTTCCTTCGACCCCTTCTTACGATGTGTTTATTTCTCCGACTCATTCGCCTGTGTTTGAAGTGACATTTTAAATTTCAATGGACGTAATCTAAGCATTCTTTTTTAAAAGTAAACATATATTACTATATATGTTAAGTTATGAAAACTTATGATCCTACATCCTACCTCCTTTCGATACTTATATTTTGGCATTGCATAATATCATACGTTTCTCATACTGTTTATGACGTCTTTACACTAACTCCATTGGATGTGTACTGATTTATACTTTAGTCTGGGGTAACTTGATTTATTTATACATTGTAATTAACCTAGATTTCAGTAACTGCGAATACTCTTACATTTTTTGTATATTGGTCCTTTGTTTCTTTTGTCTATGTTAGCTCTTGTGCTTTGTAGCGATCTACAGAGTAAAGCCAGTTGCAACTGATTTTTACAGTTTGTTCTCATATTATACTGTTACACCACTGTCACAGATTACATGTACCAATTCAAGAGCCTGTAGTTCCTTTGTTGTCTTTGGTTTATGTCTGTCATATTTGTTTTTTGCAAATTGTATTGTTATAAACTAGCCCGTTTGTTTTTTCTTTTTAATTGTTCCCATTTTTATATTGAGCCCTTTTATAGCCAACTATACGGTTTGGGTTTTTCTCATTGTTGAACCTATGGAGACCTTTAATTGCTCCTATTAATGTCATTTGAACTGTAATGGATAGTTGTCTCATAGGCAACCATACCACATCTCCTTATTTTTATATTCATAACTGTTCATTTATTAAGTCGGTGATTTCGTTGACATAATTACTTAAAACATTTACTATGGTGTTTAATAGATACAAGGGTTTGGTTTTGAAGTTTGTCTGTAACTTAAGAATTCATATTCATAATGGAATGTCACAGCCTAATTTTTACGGTAATGTTGTTTTTAAACCATGTAAATTAAATGCGATCCATGTAAACTTATTAATCCTATGAATAAACTAAAATAAATTCTTTAAAAGTGATATCATTTAACGCCGTTGTAAGATCTTTGAATATTGTTTTTATCGGTACTTATATTGATTTTGTTTTTGATAAATTAAAACATAACTCTATATGTATTGCAATACAGTTTTTAAAACTTATGATCCTACGTCATGTCGATAATATCAACTTTTATTATATACTAAGTAGTAAATACAGATAAATTGTATGTGTAATACAATTATTGGCAAGCGTGCTGTATCAGCCACCCGTGATGATATCAATATCAGCACGGTTGCAAAACTTTATCACACCTTTAATCTCAATGACGTCACGTCATCGATTGCAGTCACGGTTGCAAATGCTTTATCAATCCCCTAATATGTATGACGTCATGTCAAACCTATAATATGTATGACGTCATTTCAAACCTCCTTACCTGTATGACGTCATGTCACATAAAAACATCTACGTGAGGTATATGTATATAATAAAGTGTATATGATATGGCTTTTTCAATATCACACACCGTATCAACCCTCAACCAATATAATCCCTCGAGCAGAGCTCTTAGGATTATATTGGTGTCTCGGGTTGATACGGATGTGATATTGAAAAAGCCATATGATATTCTCTATTTATTATATGACTATAAATTTTCTGTTTTCTCATTGGCTAAAAGCATAGGAAATCCTCATGATAAAACATTATATTCACCGCGGCAAAAATCACGAGAGGTTTATATAAGATTTGGAACAGCGTCCGTATACCTAAATAAAGATATTCCAAGGCAACGTCAATGACGTAGGTTTATGACGTCATGTAATTTAAGTTCCCGTTTTTTTTTTCTTTTTCTTTTGTTTTCGGTAAATTTTTTCTCTCTTCTCGTTTTCGGTGTATTTCTTTAGTAAACTTTATTGAATATTTCAACTTATGAAATTAGCAACTGCACTTGAAAAGTAGATGATATATTTAGTATAAAAACGGGGAGTAGTTTTAAAAGTATCTTGAGCAAATACTAGAAAATTGGAGAAGGATAAAAAGTCATATAATATAACAATTGTTAACTTTTGATTTCAGTTGATACAATGATTTATCAACCCCAAAGAAATGACATTCTCACTCGACTGTTGGCCTCGGTGAATATCATATCTCTGGGGTTAATAAATAATTGTATCAACCTCATCAAAAGTCAATGATTGTATAATATTTTGGCGTTGCACAAGATCACATTTTTTTCAGACTTTTTATGACGTCCTTTCACAAAATCTGTTGGATGTGAACTGATTGATACTTTAGTACGAGAGAAAATCCCAAGTCAGGAGCCTGTAATTCAGCGGTTGTTGTTGGTTGCTGTCTGCTTTTCATTTGTTGTCTTGTCATTAATCAGTCCGTTGATTTTTGTTTGTTTCAATTGTTTCGGCACATTTTGTTATGTCGGGCCTTTTATTGCTTACTGTACGGTATGGCTTTTGTTCATTATTGAAAGCCGTTCGGTGACCTATAGTTTTAATCCACGTCATCTGAAATCTGTTGAATAGTTTTCTCATTGGCATTCAGACCGCATCTTCTTATTTGATACTCATGTTCTTCATTCCAAACGCTTTCATGATTAATTTCATCAGAGGCGTTCTTAGCCAAACGTTTAGAAAGTCAATGCTGTTTATAGTTTACCTTAGTAGTACCGTTGCGTATTGCATATTTGTCTTAGGCGTATCTGAAGATTATTGCAGAAGAACTGCAATCGGTGCACTCGTTTATTTTCTGTTCAATCTAAAAAAAAAATGAAATGTGTTATAAACTTTTATCGTAAGCAACAAGGAATGGCAAACATGTGAGCTTTACCCTCAAGGTCATCAAATGGTCGTTAGAGTCAAATAAATATCATGACCAAATATATTATATTCATCACGAGTTAATTTGATGCTATAGTTGTTTAATTGTTATTAACGTGGTGCTTTAAAAATAACCAATGCCTTACGTTCCATTAATATTATATATAAGATATTTATATTAAGTGTCGATAGTTCGTGTTGGATAATTTCACGGTTAGAGCACCCATCACTACACCGTGAGAGAGTAATCATAAAAATTGATGAAGTGTCTCCAACAAATGATATCTTCGTATCGGAATTAAGTCCGTCATAAAAATTACAGACTTTCTCAAATAAGTATCGATCGCTTAACGCCCCATTTGAAATAAGGATCCTGCAATTAGTTTCTATTTCAACCTTTTACATTAGATAGGCAGCGATATAAACAAAACAATTTATAAAACGAACGAGTCAATCAGATTTACAGCTATGATATCACTTCAATTATCCAACGTAATTCCTCTTTCTTGATGTATGACCGTTTTTGCAAATTTCGAGAAAAACGTATTATACAGTTTAATTACATAGAACGGAAAAGAAATAAAATAAAAAAGAACGTCAGAATAAAAGAAAAATATTTCACACCAGACAGTCTGATCAAGTCAGAAACATTTCTTTTTGGTAATAACGTATATGTTTGCCATCAAACTTTGTTGTTTAGCTGTCGTGTTTCTCTTAAATAAGTTGAACGTATTAAAGATATACCTACTATGGGAAATTGGGTCCCTCAGTCTAAAAATAACTGTTATTATATCTTCCTATAAGGAGGAATTAAATGAGTCTTTGTGTCCTAAAGAATTGTTTATTGTAACTACTTGATACAAACCAGTTTAACATATAAAGTAACTATTATTTTTATGCTTACAACTCGTGTTTTTATTATTAAATTTTATTAAATACGCTCTAGATCAAAACTTTTGGAAGTAAAACATTTAAAACGTCTGAGAGCTACCACAACGACCATAAACATAAAAGGCAAACTCGTCTAAGTTCAACTTTATATACTTGATGGAGTAATAACCTCGTTTAACGTAATTTTATAAACGAAATTACATACAAAATGTTTAAATTAAAATCATACCATTGCCGAGGCACTGTCTACATGGCGGATGGTATCATAGGGGGACTGGTAGTCACCCTTATTTTACAGTTAAATTAATTGTGTATACACTATAGGAATATACCGGTGAAAAACATTGATTGCGGCACGGTTGATGAAATTTGTAAAATGTGTTCATACTTAAGTTTCAAATATCTCCAGTAAAATCATCCTTGACGTTATCATGGTTTATATAAGCCGTTCTCATATGGTAATATTGGTTAAATAGATACCCAGCCTTCATATGTCTTTGGCTTTTTAAAACATGTTGGCGGAAGATAGTTATGTGTTGGTTGGTGCGGGTATGAAAGGGGACAAGAAATCTTGAAGACGGTAAAAGAAACTATTTGTTTTCTTCTAAAAAAATATTTTTACAACAAAAACTTATTTCAATATTGCAGTGGTATTATTGTGTTTTTAGTTTTTCATTTTTTATTTCAAAAATAATTGGCTAAACTGTATAGGAGGGGTATAACGCAATGAGACAACCCTACAACACAATTAAAAAAGGTATTTCAAAGTCGTACAGTTTATTTTTTTTCATGAATAAATACATATCTGCACCATATGTCGAGCCCTAACTCACTCCGAGTCTTAAAATGATGAATTGTCTTTGAATTCTCTTTGCAGTTTATGTTTGCTTTATTCGTGTTATTTATTGTTTTAACAAAATAACCAAAGAGGCAGGGTCAATTTTCTCGGTATTTTTTTCACTCGCACGGTCAAAATCAGAAAGTTGTTGAACCATACAAGAATTTGAACATTAAAGAGACTAAATAGTATATATATAAAAAAAAATCAACGATTTTACATGGATCCATAACATCAAAAATATTATTCAGTGCTAAACATTGTTACTGAAATCAATTTTGATACCAAATTACAAAGTTTAAAGGTTTTCCTAGAATTTTGCATCGATGGACATTGTTAACCATAATGAAAAAAAATGTAGACTATTTGGGAGACAATAAAATTGAGAATGGAAAAGGGACAACAACCCAGCCAAAGAGCAGAACAAATACTTAGTTAGTCTTCCTATACAGAATTTGAACATTAAAGAGACTAAATAGTATATATATAAAAAAAAATCAACGATTTTACATGGATCCATAACATCAAAAATATTATTCAGTGCTAAACATTGTTACTGAAATCAATTTTGATACCAAATTACAAAGTTTAAAGGTTTTCCTAGAATTTTGCATCGATGGACATTGTTAACCATAATGAAAAAAAATGTAGACTATTTTGGAGACAATAAAATTGAGAATGGAAAAGGGACAACAACCCAGCCAAAGAGCAGAACAAATACTTAGTTAGTCTTCCGACAGAATTTTGTTTTTTTTTAAGAATGGACTTCTTTTTCATTTTTGGAAAAATACTAAAAGTTTGTCAGAACTCATCAAAATTGCAGTTTTGAGCCATTTTTAATCATTTGTAATTTGGTCACATGTTTAGAAATACGTCACAATGTTGGTTGGATCTCATAGTACAAACACTGTGAATTTGAGTAAAGATTGAAAGACCTTTTTAAATTGGCCCTACTTCTTTGAAGCAATGTGTTTTTAATTGACATTGCCTATGTACGTGGGTGAACCACTAACAGAAAAATAAATAATTACCCTACTTTTACATCATCAACACGTTATGTAACTCCAAATACCTTTCACCATAATTACGTCAAATTACAGTCCACTTAAATGCAAAATATTGCATTTAGGTGTTACTTTTAAGTACATCATTTTAATGAAACAATTGCTTTCTGTAACTTTTGTCAATCGGCTATTTATACACCAAAGCAATATTGACATTTGTTTCTTAATTTCATTCATTATGTAAAAAAGACATAAAGTAAGTTCTTGAATTAAAACGAAGACAATTCAGTGTAAAGGATCCATCGTTTAGCATATTTCTTATTCTACGCACTCAACCGAAATCCATACAGAAGGAACGATATATTGTAAATTACATTGATATTAACACCAATTAAAATTTATATGGCTTTTATTACATTTTGCTAAACAAAAACCCCCAAAATAGAATTTTGAGGAAGTTGAACTTAGCTGAATTTGACTTTTTATTTCCCATTTGTTCATATAGCTCCTATCGTTTCTAAGTATTTACACATTACTGGCTTTCAAATGATTGGGTTTGAACGTTCCTGGTGAAGGTAGAAGCGCTTGGTACGCACGGAATTTATAACTTGAGTGTTACTTTCATGTAGGATAATGGTTTCTCTATACTATGAGAGTAAAACAAGTAGAGAGCGGAGATTTGGACATGGTAATAAAGAGTACGATTAATTTTTAAACAATGACTAACCAATTTACTAAACTGCAAGGAATATTCATATAAAACCAATGTCAATTTGAACTAACTTTTAAGGAAAAGGCTCTTTAAACACGATCAATCATTGGGACACTGACGGTTGACTATCATAGTCCTGATTTATTAACCTGAGTTTAACGGTGCGCGCGCGCCAAACCTCCCACTTGCATGACAATCATTTCAGTTACACTGAATCTTGGAGTATCAGCAGGTGATAATTATGTGTAATTGTTGAACTGAGAATAGAAAACAATCAATACCAATTTTGTTAATGCATAAAAGTCTAATAGTCCTCTATCTTTATATTAGTGTTAAAAATCTAATAAAGGTATGTTACATTAGCGTTTCATATTCTTTTGCTGGTAAACGTGCAATAAATGTTTTCTTGATTGGAAGCATTTATTTCAAAATTCGAATGAAACTGGCAATGCTTTCCGACTTGAATCCTTTATTCAATTTTAAATAGTAATGATCTACTTGTAATTTCAGTTAGGGTCATTATCGAAAATTTCTCTTCTTTGATTGTTTTTCTTGCAGTTCTACCCGAGGAAGATTTAGTATTCAATAAATTACATGTTTCTAACAATTAGATTTATCTTATCTTTACATTTAAAACCTACAATAACATTTCAAGTGACATGTGACCGTAAATTGAAAATAAATATATGTTCTATCAACATTCCAGTTTTGTCTCGTGAAGAAAAAAAAATAACAGTAGCAGATGACTAGTTTATTATTCAGTTTTATTCTTTACAATTTATTAAGTCACTGAACTGTAAGATTTATAAAAAAACCCACGCTAATAGTATGATTACAAGTCCACCATAACTGAGAATTCCGTCAGCATCAGATGTCAGTTCCCAGAAAAATTGATAAAATCATCAAAACTTTAAAGGAACGGACGAGATGAATGAAATGATATATTTATCAGATCGTATTGACGGATGAATATAAGCAATGTATGAACATTGTCGGAAAAAATGAAATTTATTTGTTCTCGCTTCGAAACACCCGGCACTTGAAGCTTTAGTTGTTTGTCTTTTTTTTAAAAGAAATCGACATAGTTTAAACGTCCGCGAAGAGGACCCCAAAATGAACTGTTACACAAAAAGAAATATTCACACTAATGCTTGCTCAACATGGCATCGGGGTAACAGGAGACTTTATTTGACCAAGTACATATAAAGCAAAAATTATTTGTGTACCTGTACCGACCGTGAAACATCGAATAACAATTTCTGAACGTTTAAGAAAAACAAGAAATTCTGAAAATATACAATACAAAATAATTAAACAATTTTAGCACACTCTGCTAAAACTGGGTATTACATTTATACAGTTTTACTGAACTCTCTCTTCGCCATTTAAACCGCTCTTTTCAAAAACGTCAAATTTGTTTTATAAAAAGAAGCTCCTCCGCATTAGAGTTTTATTGATTGATTGATTGATTGGTTGGTGTTTAACGTCACTTTCAGCACTATTGGCTATTTCGTAGCGGTCAGTTTTTATTGGCTGAGGATGCAGGACTGCCCGGAGGGAACCACCGACCTTCGGCACGAATAGTGACAATCCTAATCAGTTAAGATTGGAGTCGAATGCATCTTCCAAGTCGGGGTTCGAACTCACAACCTCAGTTTTGACTAGTGCTACAGTAGTGCGACTACTTAGACTACTCGGCCACCGAGGCCCCTTATTATTATTATTCAAGTTTGAAAAAAAAAACATTTTTTTTTGGTCTTCGACATTAATTGTGAGATCAAACTAATCATAAGTACAATGTTCAGCACATTTTTTTTTAATATTGAACGTCTTTCAACGTCTAAAATAGGGATGATTTGGGCAAATGTAAGAAAATGTTAATTTCAGTTTGATGACCTTTTTGTTTAAGAATACTGTTTGTATATGGTTTTCACTTTATTTTCAGGCATGAATATTTTTGTAGCCTTCTTTGTTCTGTTGTTATTATTAGCCGAATCAACACCACCAGCTGCCTCATCTATACCCCTTATAGGTAAGCTAATTTTTTAAAATATGCACTAGAATGATTTAGATATGTACTTTCATCTTAAAAGGTGAAAGCGACTGTACAGTTCAGAAAGATTTGGCGTCGCGCGCGGTCAATATAGCGCACGCTTTAATGTTTTTTCTGTGTTCAGTAGTTATAATTTTCCTCTTTGTATTATTCATCTGCTATATGAATCTTTGTCGTACATCTTCTTCCACTTTTCCAAATAGTGCTGACCAGTCAACATTGTATTATCAGTAGAATCGTCCGTCCGTTTACTTTTTCTATTTTAATCATCTGCTTGAAAACCACTTAACATAATAAAACCAAACTTGAAAGAAATAATTCGGTCGAGTTCCTCTGTAAGTGTATAATTTTGGTGCTGATAACTTCAGACAGGACCGCCTTTGCTTATTCTAGATTCGAAAATGAAATGGAACCAGATTTGACAAGTATGAATCTTTGATGTTCCTTAACAAGTGTTGTTACTTATAGTGCCGAGCAGAAATTCTTGAATACCAAAGGGATATTCAAACTCGTAAGTCGAAAAGGAACTGACAATTCCATGGCAACAACCGTTGAATGACGAAACAACAGTCTACAAAACACAACGTAGAAAACTTAAGATTGAGCAACACGATCTCCACCGAAAAACGGATCTCAGGTGCTCCGGAGGGGAACGCAGATGATGCTCCTCGTGTGGCACCTGTCCTGATGCTCATTAAAGTATAAATTTGGTAATAAGTCTAATTCAGTAGGTCACATTGGAGAAAAAGAGGACGGGATTGTGGTAACACCAATAGGAACATATCCGTCGTCATATATGAAAGAGATATTCCAGAACTTCATCACCTTGAACTCATGGTTGAAAAGCTTCTTTGTTAGCACCAACTCTCTTTCAGGAAATCATAATAGGAAATGCTTACTCTGGAAGATCGTATCAAATGAGAGATATATACTCCATATGGAGGCGCTGATGGAATGTTTGCTACATAGAAATGTAACGTTCACAATTGAGACACACCCTCTTTAAGAATCATGCATTTATGTGCTACTATATGAGATATTTTTCATAAAATGTTAATAATATTAGATTAACGATAATTAAACCTTTGTTTGTGTTGAATAAGACTGCAGGTTTTTCTTCATTTTAATGAAAATCATATACCGTCATTGGTTTTTAGAACTTTTTGAACGTCAGGATGGGTTGTTATGCATAAAAGATGATGAATATAAGAGAACAGTGATTAAAATTTTATTTGCATTGTTCAATAATGCCCATATTTCTTCTTTTTATCCAAATTAATGCACCTTTATTTGCAATCAGTCATTTTTAATGCCCCTGGATTAGTTATTCCTTATAAAATGTGAATAATCCTGTAACTTTGGGTTGTGTTGAATAAGAGTGCAATCATATCTTCATTTAAATGGAAATCACATAAAATGTTCGCATTTTATAAAGATGCTAATATTTCTTCTTTTTGTTAATATTAAAGCACCGTTATTTTCAATCAGATATTTTAAATGATAAAGTGTAAATAGTCTAAGGACAAAGATACTTAAACTTTTGTTTGTGTTGAATAAGAGTTCAATTATGTCTTGATTTTAATGGAAATCATGAACCGTCATTTGGTTTTCAGTACTTTAAGATCATCAGAATGGGTTATTTTTTCATAAAATGTTATTTTGAATATGAGAGATAAGTGACTAAAACTTTGTTATCATACTTTTAAAACCGGGTTTGTACTTACGTGTAGCTGGATCTGCTTACCCTTCCGAAGCACATGAGATCATCTCAGTTCTTTTTGGTCCTTAGAAGTACTTGATTAGTGTTTTTTTATGTTGGTCCTGATGAAAAGTTCCTGATGTTCGTGTTTCTGTCTGGTCAGGAATCTTATAAGTGTTGCTCTTTGTCTTATAGCTTAATGTTGTTATTTTTGTCATTGTGGAATTTGGTATTGATGGAAGATCTGTGACAGTTTATATCAAATTTATTCACACTTTTTTCGGCGCCATTTAGAGCTTGACATATTGTATTAATACTGTCTACTATTGAAGACCGGTTGTTTGCTGCTAGTCATTTATTATTTTTATTGAAATAGTGATTGTTGTTGAAAATAAAATTAGACAAGCGGATCTCGTAAAATAAGTAAAGTTTTCAATCTTGCTTTTTTTCGGCAAGTAACATGTTTTATAAAAAGGTCTTAATAAAATTTGAAAACAGCTAAAAAAATTGCAAGAACATATACAAGAAAAACAAATTATATGGGGTATACATCCATGACACAAAATCGGAACATGCACAGCAAAAACAAACAAAAGGGCAAAAGAACAGCGATTTTATTGCTTTTCTTCATCTCAAAGTCACATTGAGTCCTTCAACTGATCAATATGTAGGATCGATGTGTTTTTGATATACCATTTGCATTATCTGTAAGCCGTATTTTCATAGCCCTTCCAAAATGGACGACATGGGTATAAAAATATTGTTACCTTCGGTAATATAATCCATGCTAAAGACTGTTATGGATGTATAAATACGCAGCCACTGTCAGTCGGAATGTGGACGTTATATCAAATACCTCTTGGGGGATGTTCCAAGTCATATGCAGGTTAAATTACCTCTTTTTCAATTGAAAGTTCCAACTTATCAACCTTTTTAATCCTTCATTCCGGTTGTTCAACTTGGCATATTTTATCAAATTAATTGTTTTCTTGTTTTCATCATGAGTATGCCACATGTCTCATCCTTTATCAATGTACCTTTCAAATAATTTCAAGAGCCACTTAACAATCACCAACTAATGTGTAAGTTGCAATAATGTTTCTGTGGCTCGTAGGGAGGAATTAATCCTTTTAGCCCACAATATATTGGTAATATTTCAAAACTACTATTCAAGCATAAAGCTTGCAGGGTTTGGTCCAATTATTCATAGTGTATAATAACGAATATAGCATTAGCGTCCAAATTAGTCCCTAAATTCATACACCACAGTCTCCCAAATGAGGGTGTAAATTAATTTTAAAGTATGAACAGATTTTGATGAAATTAAATCCACTCGAAGGTTATTCTAATCATTTAGTATATGCTGTGAAAATTGCCTCAATCAAAATCATGTGTTACAACGAAGTTTCCACCATTTATCATTATTCCCACGGGACTTTGTTCTGACAACCAAAAATCTCTGTCAGAAGGTATATCCTCAATTCCTCTAATGCTTTTATAGTGTTTCCAGTATTTTTTTCAATACCAAAGCAACGCTTTTATATAAAGTATTATCGTATAGAAAATCGTTAAGAACTCTGAATTTGTTTGCCTTGTGAAAGTTGAGGGAACGTTTTCTTTGTAAACTACAGTTCTATATGATAAACACAAAGTGAAAGAAAGTGTCGATGATTGTTTCTCATTCCTATCTAGAGAAACGAATCACATTACATACTAAGAAGCAACCTGAGAACAACCTTTTTATTTTTCTGCTTTTTTGACGGTGTTGGACATAACCAGCTGAGTAGCATGGTAATGTTGAGTGGGAGAGCAGACGGACAAAAGTGGGTACCTAATTTGTATAATCAACCCAGATCACTGATGCCTCAAAGAAACATTATACACATATCGAAGATGTGCAGGAATGTTATTCAATTTTTCCAGACTTGGGGAAGGTAGCCATTTTCAGCAAAATTTACGAGAGGCTGTACAAGTTTTGTGTAATCAACTTCTCCTACAGTTTCCAACCATATCATTGAAACTACACAGAGAGATTGCACACATATTCTATTTCTCTGAACTTGGGTACTTGGTTATTGTTCAGCAAAATTTACAAAAGACGGTACCAATTTAGTGTTATTATCTCCTCTATAATCTTAAATCCAGGTCTCTAAAACTCCAAAGATGATTGTAGATATTCAAGTTGTGCACCTGCTAGTTTGGAATTGTTTAAATAAATTTTATCTGTTTTCCAAACTGGGAACTTAGTGATATTTACAGCAAAAAAATGTCTAAAGATGGTTACATTTTTGTTTTGTTTTAACCCAGATATTTGAAACTTATTGAGATAGTGCACCTTCATTTATGGCATTTATGGAGTTGTTTAAAGAATTGTTTAAATTTTTACAATTCAAATTGCCATATATTTGAACGTTCAGTATAGACCATTCTTTATTGTTCAAGAAATTAGCCATTTGAGTCTTTGATCCATGTTTACACTTATCTAATGAATCACATTTTGACTTGATTTCGTCTTCTGTGGTTCTGGTTTACATAAAGAAGAACTTATTATTAATGGATCATTCATCATTGCTCTATTGTTGTTAGATGATTTTCCTGTCTAAACAAAATCAGATTTTTTTAAAGGAACACACAACATACTGCACTGCAAGTCTGTCTCAGACTTACAACAAAATCGTTAGTAAAGTAAAGATATTTATAATTAAACGTGATTTATATAAAGCCAGAACTGATTGTATCACACTTGGGTCTAGGCTTACAGCTTACTAAGACTATCAGTCTAGGCTACAGATTACTAAGACTACCAGTCTAGGCTACAGCTTACTACGACTATCAGTCTAGGCTACAGCTTACTAAGACTATCAGTTTACTATGTGGAAATCGTGACTAAATATAACCCTGAAAAGTTAGGATAATAAAGAAAGTGTTCATTTTCACCAGACTAAAAAACGATAACTACTTAAACAATATCTCTTTACTAAACCCGTGATTATCATGGGACCATAAGTGTCTTTAACAGCGTCAATCTGAACCTAATTTGACGATCTCTAGAATTAATTGATTGTACTTTTGAAAGATGTTTTGTTTCGAGACTGTTGGTTATTTTGTGCAACTGTGATTTCCTCGGGGACTCTTGATTCACTTCTATTAAACAAGCAATGAAAATATTTGTCTATTTGTTCGATAAAGCTTGTCAAGAATAACTGTGTTTCCTTTTCATTTAATTGACATGTTTCCAGTTCAAACACCTTGGAATTAGCTGAATAAAGTCTTTGATATT